GCGCAAGAGAGGCATGGGTTGCATGTGGAGGTGAGAAGACAACTTGTGGGCGTTGGTTTTCTCCTTCTACCATGTGGATCCAAGAGGTTGAACTTAAGATTGTCAGGTTTGGTAGCAGGTACTTTACCTTGGCCCTGGGATGGCTTTTTTACAGCTTTCTGAAAACTCATGCTTAGTTTCTGGTTGACTGGTTTTTATTTTATCTTCATGGTATTATTTTAAAGAGTATTCAGTTTGATCTGGAGCGATGGCTCAGTCGTTAAGAGCACTGACTGCTCTTACAGAGGACTGGGGTTTGATTTGCTGCACCCACATGGCAACTAACAACCATCTGTACCTCCAGTTCCAGGAATTCGACGCCTTCTTCTGACATCTACAGGCACTGCATGACAGGCGTGTACCTACCTACAGGCATGCAATACATTCATAAACATAAAATAAAATTAAATATTTTTAAAAAGTGTTCAATTTATCAAGAGGGGAGGGGTACAGAGTAGTTTAGTCTTAAGACTGTATTAATAATAGTCTGAACAGTAAATCTTACAATAACAAGAATTTCACATAAAATTAGGATTCTAATTTCTTGGGTGTATTTTATTTTTATTTTATGTGTATGAGTGTTTTGCTTGTATGTACATAACTGCACCCATGCTGTGCAATGCCTGTGGAAGCCAGAAGAGGGAGTGAGAACTCTTGGAACTGGAGTTAGAGAAGACAGCTATTAGCTGCCATGTAGGAGCTGGGAACCAAACGTAGGTCCTCAGCAAGAGCAACAAGTGCTCTTCACTGCTGAGCCATCTCTCCAGCCCGTCTTGGGTACATTTTAAAGTGAACTGCAGACATCATTACATGCCTCCTTAAACACTTCAGGATCTATTAATCACAGTTCAATACTTGTTTATATATATTTTGAGAATGAAATGGACAAATGTTAAGTGTACCTTCACTGAGTTTTCTAATTCAAATTCCTGTCAGAGTCTTGCCCATTTTTATCACTCCGGTAAGCTTGGCTTGCTCTTCCTTGTCAAATTCTGTATTCCCATTCCAACAACCATCACTATGACTTTTGACAATATATTCATTTCGCACATGGCAGAGCTCCACCTAATCATTAGTATTACTTGCTTATCTCAGACTTTTTCACTCAGCATAATGACTGACTCAGTAACACTGCTGAATTTATTTGTAATTTGCTACACTTTACTGAGCAGTATTTCATTTTATACCAGTCAATATGTGGCCAACATTGGGAACAAAGGCAATTTTCCTAAATACCTGAAGGCTTTTCAGGGAGCAATGAGTTCAGTAATTAACATGTATTCTTTTGCGGGGGGGAGCTTTTAGAGACAGAGTCTCCCTGTAGCCCCAGCTGTCCTGGATTCACCATGGACACCAGGCTGGCCTCCAACTCACAGAGATCCGCCTACTTCTGCCTCCCAAGTGCTGGGATTAAAGGCATGCGCCACCACGCCTGGCCCCATGTATTCTTTTTTTTTAATTTTATTTTGTGTATGAGTGTATTGCCTGCACGTATGTGAGTGCACCTGTGTTGTGCAATGCTGTGGAGGTCAGAAGAGGGCTTTGGATTCCCTTGGAACTGGAGTTAAGGACAGTTTGTAGCTGCCATGTGGGTGCTGAAAATCGAACCTGGGTCCTCTGCAAGAGTAGACAGTGCTCTTAACCGCTGAGCCATCTCTCCAGCCCCAACATGTATTCTTTGAGCTAGAATACTCATTAGTTTTTGAGAGTTAAGAGAGGCTAAAAAAACAAACAAACAAAAAAAAAAACAAAGAAGAAAAAGAAAACTATCAAAGAATATTGACCTTAGTTTATCAATCTAAATGGAATTATATTTTGAAAACATTTCTTCTCATTTATAAATCTTCCCACAAAATATTCCAAACTTGCTTATAATTTTAGAGTTAAGAACTAAGGACTTCAGGTTAGACATGGTGGTGTACATCTTTGATTCCAGCACTCAGGAGGCAGAGGCAGGTGGATCTCGCTGAGATCAAGCCAGCCTGGTCTACAAAGGGAATTCCAAGGCAGCCAGGGCTCCATAGTGACACCTGTCTCAAAAACTCTTCCCTGCCCCTCCCCAACAAAAGAACCACGGAACCTCTGTGAGCTAGTAGGGCTCTTGCTTCTGATCAAGTGCCACCTTATCTCTTAGTAAATGAATTTCTGATACATGACTTAGATAAGAATAAAGGTTGAAAACATTACATGAAAGGCATACAAGGATTTTATAAAAATAAATGCATAGATACAGAGCGCTAAGTAGTTTTCAGGACTGATGTGTAGAAAATGTCTGAGGTAAATGTCTGAGGCAGTTGTAAAAGGAAATAGAAATAAGAAAAGTAAAAAATTAGAACAAAAAGACAAAGAAAAAAAAAAAAAGAGGTCAGCGAAGCATGATGGTTCACGCCTATAATCCCAACACTCAAGAGGCTAAGACAAGAAGATCACAAGTCAGAGGGCAGCCTAGGCTATATAGTGAGATCCTGGCATAGAACAAAACAAAACGTAAAAGAAGAAAAACATTTCTGTTCTCTTACTTACATTGTATGAGGACACTTGCTCAGCCAATCTCTTATCCCTTCCTGATAATACATACTCTTCTTCCTTCTTACTGAGTGATTTCTTTGCTTCTTGTATTTCCTGAAGAAATATAACACATTACATAAGATAAAATGAAAAAGAGATACTATTGTTTTACTTAGACTAAATAACCAGAACTGAAACTAAGCCAGACTGGCTGACTTTCTTCTAGTCAGAAATATTTGACACTTGAGAAAGGATCATTTGTATACCGACCTGCTGGCTCTTGAAAAGAAGAACAATAAAACTAAAACTACCCAGTCAACTAGTGGGAAGAAACCACCAATTTAACTCAGGATGAGTTTTGACCAACAATGACAAAATTTAGTAAAACACCACTTAAAAAGAAATCTATTGTCTATTTTCAAAAAGAGTAAAAAAATAAAAGGTGTACATATTGACAAAAAGAAAAAAACAAGAGGAAAGTGTCATTATTTAAAGATGTTTAAAGATGATATGACTGTCCATGTAGAAAACCCCAAGAACCCTATCAATAAACTAGAATTAATATAAACAAGCACAGTAAAGGTGGATGACACAAAGTCAACATACAGAATGTGCCAGCAATGGACAAATGGAATTTGAATAAAACAAAAATTCCATTTGCAATAACACAAACACAAACACACACACACACACACACACACACACACACACACACGAGGAACCTGGGTACACTTGCAAAAGATTATAATCAGAAAAAGCATTCCAGTAATGATGCTAAAGAATACATTGCCAACCAGATTGAGGAGGCTCACATGAAATGACTGGCTCCCATTATTCTGAAGGCATATTTTAAAATGGCTTTAGCTTAGGAAAATCAAGGAGATCCTCATGTAATTTCTTCCTAAACAATGATCTAAAACAATACATATTTAATAAAATATATAAAGAAACAGGAATAGTGTAGTTCTTGGGTTTTTCCCCATAAAAATTTCCCTACAAAATACATACTTGTTTTTGTAAATACTAAGAGCAAATTGATGTTATGCTACGATGGAAATAAAACCATATCTCTTTAATACTGAGATATTAGACCCAGTGAACACTGGGAGGTAAGGACATAACTAACCTCAATCAATTAACAATTAATGAAGGTGTTTCTTGTCCACCTTGGCAGTAAAATGAAGTTTACTCTACCTGAGATATAGTCATTTTTGAGAAAGGTTCTCCAGGCATGACTTAAATTTCTAGGCTAGCCTACAAGTTTGATTTTCTTTTCAAGAAAATTTAAGACATCTTTTCATGCAGACAGTGTACTATGATATGAAGGCCAGGGAATTTGGAGTTGTAAAGTCAAAATTGGAGTTTTTTGCTTATCGCCTTGCTTATTAGCTCTGAGGTAAACCCAAAAAGCCTCAAAAAGGCTAGTTTCTTCTCTATAAATAAGGTCAATAAGCCCATGTGTTGGAGCTTTCCTTAGGTTTCATATACAGTGTAGCTGGCTGGAATATAGTAAGTAGTGTGGCTTTCCTTCCTCACAACTATTCTTCAGAGGACAATTCTATTTTTCCTTTAGAATCATAACCTTAAATAGTGATGTAGGAGACAGTGCTCTGTAGGAACAAAGGAAAAGGGGCCACGGTGAAAACTGCAGTGGCTCACATATACCATGGTGAGAATAGACTTTTAGAGTTAAAAGGAATGTTAGGTTAAAAGAGAGGCCAGGAACACCAGGAAAGAGAAGCAGAGGAGCTCACAGTGGGGCATGAGATAGCCAAGCAGACCAGATAAGGGGGAAGACAGTACCCCTGGCCAGTGACAGCAGATTGACAGTTCCACCTAAAGGCTTTGAGGGACATATATAAGGCACTGTTGCCCTTTCATAGATCCTTGCTTCTAATGCTGCTAATTGTAATAGACTAAATTGGAAATAAGGATGGCTTCCAACAAGAAGCTTTCACCTAGACTCCCCCCACCTCTGCCCCCAGAGCAAAGAGTTATATATACGAAAACCCAGACCAAATGCAGCTACCTCTTGTTAGCTGTGAGAACAAAGACAGCTTTGTATAATGAATAGCACTTGATACCTGCAGGGTTGGAGGTAGCAACACCAACTTAAGACTAACAGCAGACAGACAACTGAGGTCAACAGCTAACAAAGTAAAAGCCAGAGATGGATGGGTGAAGGCTTTGGCCAATCCTAACTAGATGGGCAGTACATGAATAGTGCATCTCCATGGTGGGGAGGGGCAGGGGGATATGCATAGAGTGTGTGAACTCTCTACTGTCTGCCTATTGATAACCCAGAGAACTAACCAATGTCATAGTATAGTAATTACCTCAGCCCTTGTCCAGTCTCTACCATAGACCTAGAAATACCCTAGACAATGAAGATCGATGTCTGCTTTCCTCTGTTGGAAATCCCTTCCACTCTCAGTTTCATGTTTCCTCAATTTCTCGCAGTTCTATAACCCTCTTAATAAAGCATGCTTCCACTTTGCATGCTAGCACCAGGGTCTGTGTCTAATCTTCACTGGCATGAGACAATGAACTCAGAGCCACTGTCCCAGGTTGATCTTGGGTGATGATGAGTACCCAGCACCCTAAGTCCTTGGGTTATGTACAACTGGGCTGAGAAACGGCCTGTGGCTCTCAAAATCCTGCATCAGTAGTACTCTTAAATAATTTTCCCTTGAATCTTTGCAAGATCAAGCCAAACTGGACAGAACACACGAATAAAACAAACAAACAAATCAACATTCTCACCTTAGCTTTCCTTTCCCTGTCAGCTGGAGTATCTGTCCAGACTGACCGATCTCCAGATTTGTCATCAGCTCTCCTCTTAAAGGTTCTTGGTCCAAGACCAAAGTCTTTCATTTCTGGAGGGAGCTCAGTCATCCATGACTCTCTCATAATTGGTTTAGATGAGTCCTTTACAAGAAGTAAAAAGTTAAAAAGAAAGTAGAGGTCAGGATGGTGGTGCAGGCCTTTAATATCAGCATTCAAGAGGTAGAGGCAGGAAGATCTCTATGAGTTCAAGGCCTGGTCTACCCAGTGAGACCCTGTCTCAAAAAAAACCAAAAAACCAAAAAAACATATCTCCCTCCCCACTGACCCATACCACCACACACATAAATTTTACGAACAATTACATTTTTCAATTGAAGTTTTAAATTTACTTAAGACCAATAGAAAAGACCGATAATCTTATCATATACATTTGCCATACATGTTACAAATATCCTCATCCAGTTTGTTATTTTTGGGGGGGGGGGGCTGCTTTTTGAGACAGGATCTTCCTGTAGCCCCAGATCCACCTGCCTGTGCCTCCAGAGTGCTTAAAGGCATGCACGACCATGTCCATCCAGTTTGTTATTCTTTGATTATCTTCTGTCATACAGAATGTATTTTTTTGTTTACTTGTTTTTGAGACAGTGTCTCATATGGCTCAGGTTGGCCACAAACTCACTATGTAGCTGAGAATGACCTTGTAGTTTTGATCATCCTGCCTCTATCTCTTGAATGTTGGTATTACAGGTATGAGCCACAATGCCAGGTTTATGCAGTGTTGGGTTTGAACCCAGGACTTTGTGCACACTAGGCACCAACTGAGCTACATCCTTAGTTCCAGAATATTTTCAGCAGACAAATTTACCAGTATTTTCCTTTGCAGTTTAGTTTAGAGTATATAGCTGTGCTGGATAGCTTTAGTGTCAACTTGAAACCTGGGTTGAGGGAGCCTCAATTGGGGAATTGCCTTCATTGGACTGGCCTGTGGCCAAGTCCATGGGGCACCTTCTTGATTGTTGAGTGATGTGGGAGGGCCCAGCCCACAGTGGGTGGTGCCACCCCTGGGCAGGTGGGCCTGTGTTGCATAAGAAAGCAGGCTGAGCAGGGGTCAGGGGAGCAAGTCAGTAAGCAGCATTCCTCCATGGCCTGTGCTCCAGCTCCTGCCTCCAGGTTCCTGCCTGAGCTCCTACCTTCGGCTCCCTAATGAACTGTGACCCAGGAGATATAAGCTGAATAACCCTTTCCTCCCCAAGTTGGTAGTGGTCAGAGTGTTTTGTCACAGCAATGGAGAAACAAACTGGGATAATAGCTCTTATATTATATATGAGTGCATATATGTAAGGATTTAAATATATTGTTTAATATATTTAATATATTTTTTCTGAGACAGGGTGTTGCTATGTAGATCTGGTGTTCCAAAGCTCACCATGTAGATCAGCCTGGATTGAATTGTGGTGATCCTCCTGCCTCTGCCTCTTGAGTATTGGGCCTGCTGGTGTGTGCCATGATGCCTGGCTTAGAATTTTAATCTATATAGTTTATTTGTTAAAGTGTTAAAACTTACTTCATCTCCTCTTGTCAATTTTTCTTTCATTCTCTGGGCCCTTTTCTCAAACTCTGTTGTTATGCTATAGTTAACGGGTCCTTTTGCAGGCATTGGTCCAACAATATCCTCATCTTCACTGCTACCCATTTCCTTTGAAAACAAGACAATATTCTTAAGAAGAGACCAACATGTTACTGAAAATAATCTTAAATTTAACTGAAGTGGGATATCCATAAATAATAAAATATAAAATATACTGCTAGTCCATCACTGAACAATGAACTTCACCTTACTTTCCTCAGAGACAACAAATGCTTGGCACTATAGACCTGAATATATGATTCATATTCTCTCTGTTCTCTCCTCCACCCCAACCTGTGTGTGTGCTGGGGAAGAACCCAGGCCTTGTACATGTTAGGCAAAGACTCTACCATTGAGTTACCTCTCCAGCTTTTTAAAAAATCTTTTTCTGGTGGACACACACAGGGCCTTAGAATTCTGTTCAACATGGTGTTCCTGGTACTTAACTACCAATTGGTCAGAGATGATACATTTGAAACCTACTTTATTCTTGGTACATAAAAGGTTCTGTAGGCAGCTAGATATGGCTTGGTGATTAAAGAGCACTGGCTGCTCTTGCAGAGGACCCAGGTTCGGTTCCTAGCATCCACATGGCAGCTAACAACCATCTGTAACTCCAGATCCAAGGGAAATCTGATGCCCTCTTCTGGTCTCCACAGGCATTGCATGCATGTAGTGCTCTTACATGTAGGCAAAACACTCATACACATAAAATAAAAACAAATAGGGTCTGGAGAGATGGCTCAGCAGTTAAGAGCACTGGTTGTTCTTTCAGAAGACTCAGGTTCAAATCCCAGCACCCACTGTCTATAACTCCAGTTCTAGGGGAATCTGACACTTTCCTCTGTCCTCCGCAGGCACTGCACACACAGGTGCACCTAACACACATGCAGATATAACACTCATACACATAAAATAAAAATATAAAAAAATTTAAAACAAAAATTAAAAAAAAGCGATTTTAAAGGGTCTTTGGAATAAGGCATGTGAATCAGGGCATTACTGTCAGTCTTTATGAAACAAATACTGTGCAAAACACTGACCCAAATGAGTTAATCCAGTTTCCAAAGTAGCTCACTCATTGCAAAGATAAAATAGTACACTGTAATATCTGAATTTAATTTGTTCTGAAGTCATTTTGATGAACAGCTTCGATGTATGATTCTGTGTTAGATGCTGTAATGTGCTAAGGCTAGAGGCTGTCCTTGTCCTCCAGCAGATTTATTATGGTGAATACAGCGTGCTTGTCCTTCGGCTCTGACAGCTTCTTCACCTTGTCTTTTTAAACTAGCAGGATATGGAATTCATTTGCATGTCTTTCATTTTCCCCTTGAACCACCCAATGGTAACTTTCTATCTGTGGTTGTTGTCTTTGAACTCATACAAATGCTATTTTTCCAAACAATCAGACTATATTGTCTCTGATCCTGTGGCTTGCTCATGTATGGACTTTTTAAAATGCCACATTTGATTCTTACAATAAAACTGACAAATGATATTCTTTCCAAGGAAATGCAGCTTGAAATAAATATACTAAAAAGAAATAACGTCTGAAGTTTTAAAACTAGTATACAAGAATAAATATTTCAGAGCTAAAGCCAGTATTTTTTTGTATTTTTGACAAAACTCTTTCTATTCTCTTCTTAAATTTATATGATAATGATTTCACTTTAAGGGTTTATAGCTTATCTCTACAACAGTAAACTCTTTGATGTCACAAACATCTTTAAAAATAAAAAAAATTATGCTGGGTGTGGTGGTGCACGCCTTTAATCCCAGCACTCGGGAGGCAGAGGCAGGTGGATTTCTGTGAGTTCATGGCCAGCCTGGTCATTATATATTTTATATTAGCTTACTTCAGGCCACAAATATTTGTATCTGTAGGAAATTACAAACACATATAATTTAATACTCATGGGCCAGTATGATAGCTCAGCAGGTAAAGGCATTTGCTGTGCAAATCTGGCAACTTGAGTTTGATCCCTGGAACCCACATTAAGGTAGAAAGAGAGAACTGACTCTGCAGAGTTGTCCTCTGACCTCATATGCATGCTCTGGCACACACACACACACACACACACACACACACACACACACACACACTTTTTTTTTTTTTTCTTTTTGAGACCTCTGTAGCCCCAGCTGGCTTGGAACTTGCTATGTAGGCCAGGGTGGCCTTGAACTCACAGAGATCTGCCTGCCTCTGCCTCCTGAGTGCTGGGCTGAGTGCTACCTCACCTGGCTAGGTTATAATGAACTTTTAAAGCTGTAAGAAACTTTAGTGTTTGATGGCAGGATAGGCTAATACCATTTTTGACTTCTATCTAGTAAGAGATAGTTTCACGGTAAAATTCCAGCACATTTCAATTAGTCATTTTATTTGGGGGGGGGCGGGGGAGACAGGGCCTTCTGTAGCCCCAGCTGGCCTGGAACTCACTATGTAGACAAGGCTGGCCTCAATCAGCCTGTCTCTGCCTCCTCAGTCCTGGGATTAAAGGTGTGTGCCACCACAATAGGCTCATTGATATTTTTAGAAATAAAGATCTAGGAAGAGAATCTCAATGAGGAGCTATCTAAATCAGGTTGGTCAGTGGGGGTTATCTGATTAAGGTAATTGAGACTGGAAGACCTGCCCACTGTGAGCAGCACCATCCTCTAGGCAGGAGATCCTGATCTGTATGAGTGAAGAAAGCAAGCTGAGCACAGGCATGCAAGCATTGATTTGCTGCTTTCTGCTCTTGACTGTGGACATAATGTGACAAGTTGCTTCAAGCTCCTGCAACACTGATTTCTCTGTTGCAATGAACTATGACTTAGAGGACCTTTTTTTTTTTTTGAGACAGGGTTTCCCTGTAGCCCCAGCTGGCCTGGTACTCACTATGTAGACCAGGCTGGCCTTGAACTCACAGAGATCCACCTGCCTCTGCCTCCCAAGTAGCCTCTGCCTCCCAAGTACTGGGACTAAAGGTGTATGCCACCATGCCAAGCCCTAAATTGCTCTTATCAGGGCATTTTTATCACAGCACCAGAAATGAAACCAAGTCACCATCAAGGAAATTGTATAACCTATTCGCTAACTAAGTAGGTTCAGACAAAGTTCCATTTTGAGTTGGGTTTTCGGTATTTGCAGCTGAGAGCATTCTAGATGATAAACTACCTTTCAGGGATGTTTGGATTAGAATAAGTTTCTGCTGCTTGTGTTTTGCAGTGCCTGGTTCTAGCAAGTGTTCAACAAACAATAACCATTGTATTATCCTGTCTTTCTTATTTGGGGACAAATATTGTGAATGAGAGACTGAGATGCTCTTCTCTGATAAGAGAAAATCTGAACATTGAGGGGAAAAGTGCCTTTGCCTTTTGTAATAAGTTTAAAAAATTTTTATAAAGCAAACAGTTAAGTCCCAAGAGTACCTTAGAAATGTATACCCTCAGAAAAAAAAAAAAGGGGGGGGAATGTACACCCTCTCTCATCCCTGCCCAAGGCATCCCACACCTTTTGCTCAGAAGTTAGAGGATACAGAGTACAGACCACTTAGGAAATGATAAATCTAACTGTTCTCTCTCCACTCTAACCAAACTGGATGTTGTAACCCTAACTGTCCTGTCTACTCTAACTCTGCCTTCACATAAGCAACATGTACTCTCAGAACAAGGTTCTCTGGCCTCTGCTGAGTCTCTCTAACTCATCAACCTTCATTAGAAGCATTTTCTTGGAGCAAAAGATCTTATTTCTTCACATTAGTTTAGAGTCTTACCTTGGTTCAAACTGTAACTGTCTTGCCTTTTGACTTATTCATAATGTTAACATTTCCTTAACATACATAGTCATCATACCTAGTAGAAAGGCAAGGGCCATCTATGTCTAACTTATTCATTCAACAAATACTTCTAATACCACAAAGGCACTGGTGATAAGACAAACATTTCTATCCTCATGGACCCACATTCTAGTGGAAAGAGGTCAACAATAACAAAAAGCAGAAAAATTAGTATCTCTGATGGTGACAAGTATGGAGAAAGTTAAAGAGGGAAGGGGAGAACACAAAGGGAAAGAGGGAGAGCAGCAAATTTAAAGGAGGAGGCCAGCCAGGACTTCACTGGGAAGGTTCTATTCCAGGAGAACGCAACAGGCAGCCTTGCATGGTGGCCCAGGCCCGCAGCTCTAGCACTAGGAGGAAAGCTGTGATACTGGAATGGAGTTTAAGGGCAGCTTGACTACTGAGCAAGGGCTGAAAAGAAAAAAGAACCAAAATAGATAAACCTCTGAAGATTTTGGAGGCCAGCCACAAAGATATGGAGAAGCTATCTATGTGTATTGGAGCAAGCCTTTTTAAGAGGCAGAGGCATGCAAATCTCTGAGGCCAGTCTGGTCTACATAGTAGCAAGTTCAAGGCCAGTTGGGGCTATAGGGAGACCTTGTCTCAAAAAGACCTGGATGAGTATAAATACTTAGGAGTAGAAGTACACTTCATAGTACACTTCAGGTATACAGTACACTTCAGGGATCAGTAAGGAGCCCAGCATGGTCACAACAGAGCAAAAGATAAAATCAGAGTGCTAAAGGAGGCCAGGCTGGATATGGGCCTATAAAGACTCTGGCTTGGAGCATGAGATACAGAATGGACAGATTTATTTCTGTGACTATGTGCTTAACACATTGTACACATTCCAAAAACACTTGAAAGAGTAAATAACTCTAAAGTTATACATTTTTAAAAAGATGGGGTCAAACCCCTCTTCTGTCTTAGTCTTCTGAGAGCTGGGATGATAGGCATATCCCACCACACCTGCAGCCTGTAGGTAAAGCTCACGATATGACCACTGTACTATATTTCCATTCAGCAATGTCAATGTGATTGATGAATTCTTAATGGAGATGAGTGGAAGTTTCTTGACTACCTGAACAGGAAGAGACTGCAGCATTAGAGACTGTATATATGACTTAAAGTTATAAGGACCAGATTTGAGCCATGGCTTTGAGAAGTACGAATTTGTAGACTTGGGTAAGCTACTCAACTTTTTTGGTCTTACACATTTGTAAGATACAAATAACACCTATTTTATGAGACTGTAGAAAAGATGAAAATAAGACCACATATGGAGAACATGTATTACAAATCTCAGCTATACTTAAGGACAAAACAGCTTCATATTGTACCACAAAACCATCTGATGTATCTTTTATAAAAAACAGTTATCTACCAGTGCATCTGTTATATACCAGAGCACAGTAGGAGAGAGTTAACTTCAAGGTCCCAACTGACATTAAAAACAAAACAAAACTCTCTTCTCTCTTCCAGATCAAATCCCAACAAGTCCCTTAACTTTTCATCATGTCCCATTTTTCTAACACTTTAAACCCACCCTTCAAGGATAAGAAACATGAACTGACACTACCTGTCTATCTTGTTTTTCTACGAGAATATCAGGTGTGAGAACAGCCTTTACTTCATCACACAGAGCTGAATTGAACTGTGCTCAGACTCTCATATTCACAGTCTCATATTTCACAGGTGCTACATGACTGTAGTCACTATGCTACTTAAGTGCTGAGTTTGTTACATCTTATTCTTTAAGTGAAAACTTTCCAAACCTCAGAGTTGAAGTGTGCTGACACTTGGCCTGGGTCCTCTCTGCCTTTGTCACTTTTCTGTGTAGATTTAATGAAACCAGGTGGCAATGCAGGACCTATTATAGGCCTGGAAAACAAAATGTACTTTTATCATTCTCCCTTGACTTTTAAAGTTTTTTCAGAATAAAACTTCACAATCATAAGAAAATCAGATAATAACAAATGTTGAAAATAAGAATTTTATGTAACATTATTTTTACTAGTATTAATATTTTTCTACTAGATGTTTAAAAAATTTAATTTTTGAATCTTTAATTTTCATTTTTTAAAACACTATTTTTATTTATTATCACTTTTGTAGGTTTTTTTAAAATCATTTTTGTGTTTGTGGGTGCAGGCATGTATGCCACATCATGCATGTGAGCATCAGAGGGCAACTTTTGGGAGTCAGTTCTCTTTCTGCTGTGGGATTGGGGATTAAACTCAGGTCATTAGGTTTTTAGAACAAGTTCCTTTAACTGTTGAGCCATCATGCTGGCTCTCAATTTCTTAGTCAATTAGATACTAAACTCAAATTTTTCAATCTTTTTGACATGGGTGTACTTATAACAGTTTTTCTATTTTATGCTTTAGCTTTTATTCTGTTTTGATATTTGCTGTTCACTGAAAAACCTTTGGGCATTATAATTAGAGTCAGATCTACTTAAGCAGAAAGTTCACTCTTCTAAGGATATCAGTAACAGGTACATACAACAAATGCCATAACTGATGGTACTGCACCACAGCAGAATACAAACCCACACACTGTCCTTGTTAATGATCAAGTAATCACAGGACAGAAACACACAGAAGAATGCAGCTAGTTCATTGAGATCCACAGAGGGAGCAGAAGGTGCTATGCTCACCACATTTCTTCTGGTGTACACTTCTATTTCCTTAAACAACCAGTTACTATAAGCTACCATACTTTGGACAAAATTAGTGATCAAGGTCAACATACCAGCAAGTAGCTAACTGGAGTTTAAGCCCTGGATTCTGTGATGTCAACCATCTCTTGTATGGGATCTTGCATATTTGCATATATGGCAATATGTATTATATTAGTAAATTGTCATGTGCTGTTTAAGCTCACTGAAAAGCTAGCACTACTTCAGACCCAAGAATGTTTGCATTTGAGACCCCTTCTCTGGGGGACAGCACCCCCTCTCCCCCTCCTCCCCCAGTCCTGTGAGAAGGGGAAACAAAAACATCAAAATAGCCCAAGAATAAAAATACCATGTCCTTGAGAACAGAAAGAGAATAAATCATTTGTGTATGAACACTGTGTCCTTGAGCACAGCTGGTAGGCTAACTCACTCCCAGGCACCTTCCCAAAGCTTCAGACTTTGTTTATCCCATAATATAAAATGCCTGTGGTGGGAACAGTTAATTGGAAGTCTCACCCAGGAGACCCTCTGCCTGGGACCCTCCTTGTCCTTCAGGGACTCAAGATGACTGCTTTTTCCAGGGATTCTCCAGTCATTCCTGCTGGATGATGTGTCTGACCTGAAGTTCTATTGTCTGTCTTCTGCTTACTATTTTAGTCTCTTACTATTGCTTGCTATATTCACTCATTCAAAACTGAAAAACAGCAATCACGGATCATTATCTGGATAAAACAATATAGTATTATGAATTTTAAAGACTGGATAAAACTACGCATTATCACCTTGGAGGAGAATCATCCTGCTTTTTAAATCCAGGAGGAAGGGCTGGTCCAAAGAACCCATCATCATCATCATCATCATCATCATCGGTGTCTGGATTTCGCCTCTGCTTTCTAAAAACAAAGTAGCATAACTTATGTTAAACATATGCTAAAAATTTTTACAAGGACTGGAGAGATGGCTCAGTGGTTAAGAGCACTGGCTGCTCTTTGCAGAGGACCCAGGTTTGGTTCCCAGCACATACATGGTGGCTAACAACCACTTGTAACTCCAGTTACAGGGGATTTGATGCTCTCTTCTGGCCTCCATGGGCATTGCATGCTACGGGTGCACTTGTACACATGCAGGCAAAATACTCATATACATAAAATAAAAATAAATTTTAAAAATTAAAGCTGGGTGTGGTGGCCCACACCTTTAATCTTAGCACTCCAGAGACAGTGGCAGGTGAACCTCTGTGAGATCATGGTCAGCATGGTCTATAGAGTGAGTTCTGGGCCAGCTGGGGCTACAGGGAGACCCTGCCTCAACCCCCCACCCAACTTCCAAAACAAAATAAATTTTCTTACAAAAGAAAAAATTTAATTTTTAAAGAAAGCATTAAGTAGGTATAAGACACTGAAACAATTAATTTGTCAAATTAAAAAAAAAAGGATGCTACAACAGTTCTTAATCCTTTCCTGGAATTTATCTTTGGCGTAAAATAGAGCTTGGTTACTCTACTTACAGCAGTATTAGATCAGTATTCTATATACCTTATATAGAATTCAAGATTCCACTAAGTCAAAATTTGAATAGTCTTCTCAGATATTTCTTAATGAAATATTTAGCTTTTATTCTCATTTTAAAAAGCATTATAACGGGCTATAGAGATGGCTCAGTGGTTAAGAGCACTGGTCGCTCTTGCAGAAGACCCAAGTTTGAATCCTAGCACCTACATGGTGACTAACAACTGTCCTTAACTCCAGTTCCAGGGGGTCCAATGCCCTCTTCTGGCTTCCATGGGCTCTATATGATGCGGTTGCACTTATATACATGCAGGCAAAAGACTCATACACATTAAATAAATAAAAAGCTTAAAAAATTTTAAAAAGCATTATAAATTGCTTTTTCTGTCTCATAATCTATGAAAGGCATCAAGAAAATCTGTTACTTCTATCTGTGTAGCAGCTGTGATCTCCACACACCCCCAGAGAGTGCCGGGTTCTAGCCTCCCTCTGGCATAGGGGCTGAGAACCCAGGGGACTGCCTGAGAGCACCCAGATCCTGCTTCCACTGGTAGTGAGCTTCCCCTAATTCTGCAATACCCATCCCCCTTCCTGGGATTTTTGTGAGGCCCATCCCAAGGCCCCAGGGCAGACCTGGCTTTGGTAGGCTAAGGCTGAGATCCTAGCAGACAGCCTGAGAGGGTGGGCTCTGACCTCCATCCAGCTGTGATCTCAGCACACAGAGAGTGCCGGGTTCTGGCCTCTCTCTGGCATAGGGGCTGAGAATACAGGAGACCAACCGAAAGTCCCAAAATTGCCACCCCATCCCCTTTTAGGGAATTTCCCAAATTTTCTCTGAGTTTTTGCTAATAGGGGTCTAAATCTTAGAAAGAAGCCTGAGTATGTGATTGGAACCTGACTTGTGCTTCTGTGTGTGCTCCTGAATAGCTGATCTGAAGCCATCAGTTCCCTCCAAAATAAAACCTGAGAGAACCTGAAACCTGTACCAACCAGCTTTACATAACCAATAAGGAAAGGACCTAGGCACCCCAATAATACAAACAGAAGCATACTTCAACTTAATTCTCATATCAGAATCATAAACAACAAAAGAAATTCACATGCCAAAAACCACAACGAAAGAATAATAAAATGGAAAGCTGAAACACTATGTCCTCACCAAACTCCACCAGTCCTGTAGAAGAGTTCTACAAGGAGAGCCTCCTAGAGATAACCCAAGACACTGAATTTAAAAGAACAATCATAAACATGATCAAGGAATCCAAAGAATTTAAAGAACACATGAACAAACAAATCAAAAAACTAAAAGAAGATAGGGATAAACTTCTGAATGAATTCACAAAAGAGATAGAAACATTGAAGAAAACTCAGGTAGAAATGAAGGAAGTGCAAAACTCAATGAGCCAACTTGAAACAATAGGGGCAAGCCTCCACAACAAGGGAATGCCTCACCACTAGAATGAATGAAATGGAAAACAGAATATCAACACTGGAGGATAGGGTTGAAGAATTGGACCACTCAAGCAAACATGGAATGAATGAAATATGCAAGAGATGTGGGACACCATGAAAAGACCAGATCTACAGATCATAGGCATAGAGAAAAGAGAAGAATTTCAGGTTAATGGTATTGACCAGATCTTAAACAGGATTGTAGAAGAGAATTTCCTAAAATTAAGGAAAGACATCCCCATACAAATACAAGAAACACATAGAACACCAAAGAGATGGGATCAGAAAAGAGACTTCCCATGACATAGTAAAAACACTAAATGTATAGAACAAAGAGAGAATACTGAAAGCAACAAAAGAAAAACTACAAGTAATATACAAAGGAAAGCCCATCAGAATTACGGCTGATTTATCAATGCAAACTATGAGAGCCAGAAGAGCCTGGCCCAAGCTATTTCCAGTTCTACATGACAATAAATGTCAGCCCAGAGTACTTTACCCAGCAAAAAATGTCTATTATAGTTGAGGGAGAAAGAAAAATCTTCCATGACACAAAAAGCCTGAAAGAATACATGTCCATAAAACCAGCCCTTCAATGAACACATGAAGCAATACAAAGAGAGGAGAAAGTAACAACTATACACAAGGGGCAATGAACCCGGATCCTCTGCAACAGCAGTCAGTGCCCTTAACTGCTGAGCCATCTCTCCAGCCCCTACATCTTTCAATAATAACATTAAATATCAATGGACTGAACTCCCCAGTCAAAAGACACAGGCTAAGTGAATGGTTTAAGAAAAAAATCCATCTCTTTACCATCTGCAAGAAACCCATCTCACCTTCAAGGACAGGCACTACTTTAAGGAAAAAGGATGGAAAAGAATATTCCAAGCCCACGGCACTAAGAAACAAGCAGGAGTTGCAGTTCTAATATCTGAGTTAGACAGGTCAACTGGACAAAGAATAAACAGAGAGATGTCTGAATTAAATGATACCATACATCAAATGGACCTAACACACATCTTCTGAATATTCCACCTAAGCACCAAAGAACACACTTTCTACTCAGCACCCCAGGGAACTTTTTCAAAAATTGGCCACACACTAGGGCACAAAACAAACCTCAATAAATACAAAAAATTGAAATAATTCCATGCATTCTATCGGACCACAATGCAATAAAGCTCAAAATCAACACTGGAGAAAGCCCTAGTCACTACACAAACCCATGGTGATTGAACAACACATTCCTAAACAATGAGTGGGTCAAAGGAGAAAGTACGAAAGAAATAAAAGAATTCCTGGAATTCAATGGAAAGGACAATAAAATACAACACAACCTCTGGGACACATTAAAAGCAGTCCTAAGAGGGAAGTTTAAAGCTCTAAGTGCCTATATTAAAAAATTAGAAAGAGCACAAATAAATGACCTAACACTGCAACTCAAGAAGCTGTAAAGGCAAGAACAAATGAAACCCAAACCCAGCAGAAGAGAAGTAACAAAAATCAGAGCAGAAATTAATGAAATAAGAACAAAGTAAATAATACAAAGAATCAATGAATCAAAGAGCTGGTTCTTTGAAAGCCTAAACAAGATAGACAAACCTTTAGCCCAGTTAACCAAAAGAAAAAAAGAGCAAATCCAAATCAACAAATTCAGAGATGAAAGGGGAAACATCACAATAGATATCCAAAAGATCCAGACCATTATAAGGGAATATTTTAAAAATCTATATGCTACTAAATTTGAAAATATAAAAGAAATGGATGGATATCTAAAATTATGGGAACCACCAAAGTACACAAAGAAGAGATCAACAGG